CCACGTTCAGTGTCATACATCTAAGTTCAGGGCATCAAAAGATACACTGAACAATGACTTTGTTAATGTCAGTAATAATCATGTCCCAGAAAACTTGAGGCTGACATATTTGCTGCACGTCAGTGTGCAGAACAGAATTGGCAAAGAGTTGATCCTACATGTTTTGAGGGTTCAGTGATTATTTTTTGTCTCAGAGTTGTCTTGTCATAAAAGCTGAGACTGAGATTTGAGTCAATATCTCACTCTTGGAAAATCCCAGCTGTGTAACATGTGGTAGATCTATTGTGTTTATTTTCCAACTCTTCTTTCGACACGTTCCTGTTCTAGGTTTCTTTGCAGTGATGATAATTGTTGCCAGTGCTTGACTGATAATTATTCCACATAGATACAATACATAAGCATTGAAGAACAGACATTATGATCATTTTAACTCTCTACATTAACATTTTACAGTCAAAGTCCTAGGACACATTTCAGATTATATTTATTTATTAATAGCTCCCAAAAAAATCTGCATTTTTAATGCTCCAAAACAAAGTCATATAAAAATGCCAATGTGTCAAATTCATAAATACACATAAATCTGAGGAATTAGTTCAGAAGTACTTACACGACCCATATTCCAGTGATGGTGAAGACTGGCAGGCTGACTGGAAGAATCACCCAAAGAGACATGACGATCACCTGGAAATCAGAACAGCACTGTCACTCCATCAGTCTTATGTCACCACAGAACAAGAACTCAACACGGTCAAGAAAGAGTTCAAATTAGAGTTACAATCAGCCATTTGTTCTCTTACATGTCTAACTGCAAAATAGTCTGCAGATTCTGTGGCTAAAACGTTAGTGGATAATTAGATAAAACATGAATCTAATAAAGCAGAGGAAAATGCATTATTAAGCCAACATCAGACAAAACTAACTGCTGACACAAATTATTCCAAGGAAATATTCTGGCGGATATTCTGGCTATTTTTTTCAATTCATTCATTTAAAGAAATGAAGTGTCTTCAGGAGCAAAAAGCCAAAGTTATATCTGCAACGTATTTATTGTAACATCTAAATTAATGATGTTTTCCTAAACTGCCACTGATTGACCAGGAGTCCAAACAAGAGAGACAGAGGGAAGTGACTGTATCTCTTTTAATGACTAATATTATTTTTGTTTGTTAGCAATATAAATCAATGCAGCTTAACTTTTTAAAAATAACAATGTATAAAAAAATTACGTTCGCAGAACAATACATAAATTATAACCATTATAACTTTTATTATAACTAACTATTATAACTATTTCAATGTTGCCTCAACACTACAGTAAAATACAGGTAGGGATGCGTTTACATTCACTTGTTAATGTAGAGACAATCTGATGCAAAACTATTCATCGACTTTTGATTAACTCTGGTTACTAGGTGTTAAGTTCTCCTATAAGGCTGTGTAAAAGAGCCCCAAGAACTCATCTAGATGATCCAGTGTGTAAAGGTGCTACAGTCCTACCTCTCCTCGGTTCCTTTAGAGAGAAAGAAGCCCAAACAAAATATTCATGGTCCGCGTCTCATCTTAGCTCCTCTGCTCTGGTCTGCATGAAAACTCAGGAGTCAACTCCATAAAAGTTCAGGCTCCACAATGACTGGATGCCGGGGTTGCTTTTACCGTCCAGATGTGACGGAATGGACACATAGCTGTGGAAGAGTCGTCTCTGGAAGAAGGAGAAGAAGAGGAGAGGTTTTCATTTATCATACACCTCCTTCTTCTTCTCCTCCTCCTCCTACTTCACCAGTGTCTAATGAAGCAAGAGAGGTAGAGGGACAGAGAGAGAGAACAGCTGAAGGAACTTTTAACTCCACCCAGTGACACCTCCTCCTTTTTCTTCTCCAATTTTTTTTCTAAACAAACCCCTAAACCTCTATTTTCTAATCTCTACATTAGCTTAATAATCACGTAAAAATTATATATATATATATATATATATATATATATATATATATATTCACTACTATCACCTCCAAACCCTCTTGTTTAGTTTAAATGTATAATTGTCATTTATGTATGTATGTGTGTTTGAGCAGTATTTAAAAAACAACAGCCATACGAATCTAAAAAATGCTGGCTCTGACTTTAGTCTGGTTTTAGTGTACACTACATTTGTCCATGAGTAATAAATTGGAATTGTCTTCATCAGGCTTTATGACATAATGACATATATTATTGGAAAAATGTGTTTGGGGCATTGAAGCAACATTTGGGTTTTTTGAGGGTCAACATTTCAAAAAGATTAGGCTGGTCTTCATGTGATGTCTACTATGTGGTCTGGGGTCAACATGTATTCAGTTGATCTACTGTACAGTACAGTACTGAGCAGTACTGGCATGCACAAAGCTGAGTGATCAGTTGTTCTTGACAGTGTACAATACACTAGATTCAACTGCTGGAGCTGCGATTGTTGTTGTTGTGGTTGAGGTTGTTTTTATTCTTCAATCATGGATCATTTTGTTCTATTCCTGTTCCTGGAAACAGATTTCACAACTCGGCAGTGGATAAATTGTTCATTCCTCTGAGGCAAATGCTGCAGCCTAGGATACTGAGTTTCTTATGTATGTCCAGGACCGCCCGATCTTCTTGAAGAATGTTTTCCAAGAAGCTAGAGAGCTGCCTCCAGGCACGTTGTGCAAGCTCTTGCTTCTGAGTTGGCAGTCATGTAGAAGGACAAAAACATTTCTGGGTTCCTCCAGGTCCAGAACAACTTGTGTTTTCCCTGGCAAAATCTCATCATGTATTTTATATTTAATAATTTCAACCCTAAATCCTTTGTTGTCAAATGTATTTGTCATCATGTAGTAAAGGTAAACATATAAACGTTGTGCATAAAGTAGTTTGGAACATTTCTGGCCCCTATGTGGTGAGTAAAACATAATTCATACTGCCGATCACTTGACCTAGTGATCATAGCACCAATTGGTCACTTGACCTAGCTTATGAGCCCATAGTTGGGCACCTCTGTTATCCAAGATGTGGGCTACAGTCAGCAGTCTGTAGTGCACTATCAAAAACTTCGGCCCAGATGTGTATGATACGGTATGTGGGCTAACAAACTTAAAAATCAAAATGACTTTTTTCTTCACTATTATTCCCACACTGCATGATTTGTCACTTGACCCACTTCTAGGCTCTTAATCAAATTAGCTGTGGACCCAGTCACAAAAATTTAAAAAAATGTAGGCTAATATTTTGAAAGATTTATTTGAATTTTTTCACATCTATATCTCCTGGTGGTTGACAAATCCCCAGAGTTTGCCAGATTCTCTGTTGAGAATCTCTGCTCCAGAAATGATGCCAAGAATCAAGGCCAAACAGTTACATTTGTTTTTATCAGACCACACTCTCACAGTCTGAGTCCTTTGGGTGCAATTACATGGCTTTTACTGACGAAAGTCTGTACTGGACTTTTATAAAGCACAACAACAGTAAACTTCACTTCACCTCATATGCCTCTGTCTCTCTGTCTCTTTCTCTGTCTCTCTGAGACCTCTGTCCTTCTACTGTGTCCAAAAATTAGGTTTCTGTAACCAATGAAAGTGTGCCTTTATTGTATTATAATCCTTCCCAAAACTGTCTGAACATAGTGTAGTCTTTATTTTATGCCTCCGTTGATCTCATAAACCCAGCATTTATGTGTGACTTGAAAACAAATGAAAATAAAATGTAACAAAGGAAGAATATTTGCTAACATCAAGTTAAAACGATGAAGTAAACTACTATTTAGGCAACAGGACCTAAATATTCAACCATATGGAACATTTTTATGAAAATACATCATATTGACATTTTTCCTAGTATTTATCAAATTTCTTGCTGCATTCGGTTGTCTGAAGTTATAATGCTCTTTGTTCGTATTTTCGACGTATTTTAAAAGAATCCTCACGTGAGTCTCTGTACACAAACTGTTCACAGCTGCTTTCAATGTACTGACTAGCTTGGACAGAAGTTTTTTGTGCAACTGTCTCAACGGGAATCACCTAGAGTTTCAGAGTGTTGTACCACGTCGCTGCTACCAGAAGAGGGCGCCATACACGGTGAAAAACTATACTTTCAGCAGTACAACAAATGCAGTTACAACGCCAGTAACGTATGACCTATACCGCAAAAAGGCATATGTCAATGTATGTTATGATTTAACTTGCAAATAGTTGGATTTGGTATTCTTTGTTATTCTAATTCAGCATTTTGATATAATATTTAAGATAATTTTAAGGTGTTTAGTTGTTTTGTTACCTGTATGCTTTGACAGCATGAAACCTTTTTCTATGACAAACTCTGCTGTGTAGATGCAGGGACAATTTAAACTAGCTTTCTCCCAGCTCCTCACAGTGACTTTGTCCTCCATGTCCTCTGTAGTCACCACCCATAGCTACAAGACTAATGCACTGAGCAGACACAGCTTTGTCCTCCATCAATCCACAGCATCCTGCTGGTTCATACTACTTTAGCTGGGACATTGTCTGCAGTCATATCCATTTTTTATTTTTTTTTATAGCACATTTATATGCTAGGGTAATTTAATTTGTTTGACAAAAATACATGCATCAATACATACATTTAAAATTAAATAAATAAAAAAAGATCAAATAAATAGGACAATTAAATAATTATTGATTAAATATTAAATAAAACCAAATTATATTAAGGACTGGTTGAATATTAAAATAATCCAACAGCGGCAAGTTGGAAAATACAGATATGTTGGTATTTTTTTGTTTTTGTTTTTTTTTTTGGGGGGGGGGTGTGTAGACGGGCAGTCTAATAACTTTTTATGGAAAGCTGGGTTCTGTCTTTAAATACATTTGAAGCATAGAAAAACAAATTCACGAAAATGCACAAAACTGAAATAGGTGTAATATATGTAATAATTCAGCTGAATGTTAATTTTACAACAGATCCAATCAAATTTTATTTGTATGACACGTTTCATACTTTAAGGTAAAAAACAAACTAAAAACAATAGAAAAGAAAAGCCAACCCTTCCACCCCACAAATGTGTTCGCTCTTTCACAGATTTCAATGTGTCTAACTTCGAGAAGTGATTGCGGCCAATCAGCGCCCTCGATTCACTGGTGTGCTTACGTAATACTGTAGTTATGTCAAGCGCCAAAACTTAACACAACAAAAAGTTAATATTTGCATATTTTTGTACGTCACTGAACAATGGCATATACTTATAATAAATCTGCGGCTAACCACTGAGCTAACAATACAACTTCCTCAACAGATGATGATTTCACCGACGTCGGGGGTTCGAGCAACCGCGATGATGACGTCACACGGACAGTGAAAGAGTCTTCGCGGTGAAATGCCTTCTTCCAAAACGTAAGTTACAGAATAATTGTCATTAAAATACAAAAAACAAACCAATATTAACTCCGTGACACAGGTCAATGCTAACTTTTTCAGTCATTCATAGTAGGCTAGGTCTCCCCAGGGTAACTGACTAACACTAATGCCAGGCTAATGCGTGCTAGCCATTCGTTGCTAATTAGCAGATTCGATCAGAGATCCGTGGACACAATCTAAGCTGCCAATGGTTTCAATTATTTAATAGTGGATGGCAGGTGTTATAAAAATATAATAATTCAATATTAATAAAAATGTTGGTAATATTTGCAATTTGGTAATTTATCTTGGTTTGCCAAAATAACAGGTGAAAAGTGATGCAATACACATTGTGTGTGCACATATTCCAGCTTCCATATTGGAAAAGCAGCTCCAATTTCCTTTTTGATGTGTGATTGACTGCTAAATGAGATTGTTATTAAGTTGTTAAAAATACAGTACAAATAAAGTACTTCCCATTTTTATTTTGCATACACACAATCTCACACAATCTCATTCAATAAAACAGCTTAGAGACCCAAGCATCTCTTAAATTCAAGTTTATTAGTCTTAAATTCAGCCAGTCAGCTTTTAACATCATTAGCAGAGACTAATATTTCTCTATTTTTTACACATCAGATCATGGCCAAAACAGTTTTGTATTAATCCAGAGGCTTCAGAAAAAAACAAGTCAGTTTGAAAGACAGTACCTAGGGAAAATTGATGCAAAAACTAAAACATAAAAACCTGTTATAATCATGAATCTGGTATCTTTCACACACTTGAAGCAGAATGCAGGACTGGCAAGTGACATGATATAGTAGTTGACATTCCATCAGTGACAAAATCACATT